TATCCATAGGGGGAAACTTAAACAATGAAGAGGGTTAAAAACAGTATCTTAAGGAGAAAATAGTATCGCTAAGGGGAAACTAAAACGACCATAAGGCGAAATCATAGACAAAAGAGTTCCCCCTTAAGAGCCGAATAAACGATTTATATATATATATATATTTGATGGAAAACATGGTTAATGAGACACAGACTTTCAAATATTTAAAAACAAGGGGAAAAGGTGAAAACCAGGGTGGTTACGCCACTTTTACTCCCAGATTTTAAATATTCAAAAATCTGCATCTCATTAACTGCTTCCAAGTTTTCCCCCCCAGCATTTTAAATATTCAAAAATCTGCATCTCATCTACTGCTTTCAAGTTTTTTGTCTAATATGCTTTTTCTGTCTTAGAAAAATCAGCTGTACAACTTATCAAAAACGATTTTCCCTCCTGAGGCTGGCTTTAAAGAATAAATAAGATAGGGCAACATGGTAATTCTTGACTATTAGTGAAAGTACATCACCTTCTAGAAAGCTCCTTTAGGCCACAGACAACTTATGTCAAAAAATGTAACCAGAATTCTATATTGATATTAACACAATTTTACATATGAATATATTATCCAAAGATCTCTTAACTGTGTATAATGTGCCGTTATGCAGAAATATCACACATTCCTGGGGATAAAGCGCAGAATTTTATTGACGTAAATCCTTTTTCCTGTGGAAAGTTTCATAAGTAGTAAAATTAAGTGGTTTTTTTAAAATTTGGAATTTATAGTGTATTGTCACAAAATGTAATTTAATAATTGTGAAGGAGAATGAATTCTATTGAGGTTTTCTTAATAAGCCTTTAGAATTTAAAATTTTCCAAAATGAGTTTTGGGGCATACAGAGGCATTAGGGAAGTTGTTGCTATATCACAATATTTGTCTTTCTTATAATTTAATGATCCATTTCTATATTTATTTATTCATTTATTCCAACAATCCAATGATAATAATAGATAAATTTATATACACAAATAAACAAGGTCTCTATGTACTCGACAATAGATAAGAAGACAACGAAAAATGGCAAAAGGAACAAAGTTCCCTGTAACAGGTGCTGTTTTAGTTTCAATTCAATCAATTACATTTATCCTCAATGTTTCAGAAGCAATTATAACACAATGTCTCACCACACACACACACCCCCACATTAACTTCACCTTTACAGGTATTTTATTTATATACCACATCACCTGATTCTATTTAATCTCTTTACCATGTACTGTATACAGGACCACTTTTCAATCTGAGAATTCAATGGCTTATCAGTACATTACCTAGTCAACCCTGATTAAAAAGAAATTGTTCTACATTTAAAATGTAATTACAGTACTCAACTTATAAATTACTGTATTTTAATGTTACATTATCTTTCTCAAAAATATTTAGTAAGGGTTTTTATCTTTGTTGGTAATGAATGAAAAGAAAAAATGAATATAATTTTTAAATAATTATACTATATAATTATTGCTGTAGAAATGGACCAGATGAAATTATTCAAATATTTATATAATTATTTACTACACAAAGTAGCAAAATGCATTGCTGCAGTGCAGTAGTCTAAAGTTGAAGCCTTAACGGTTGATTTGACACCTCAGTTTAACGGTCACTATCAAAGGTGCACCTATGTGCCTTGCTCGTGGTATTATCATGTTGTTAATGAATGAAAGCTCCATGGTATGACAACATACTTTAACAGTTATGATGCCTTTAAGACCTTATTTTATTTCTGAATATTATTCCAGTAATATTTAGCTTTAAAATATGCTTTGGTAAATCAATAATCATCATGGTGTTTGATTATTAAATCCAAATAAGGATTATTTTGAAATACAGTAAATTCATTTGGATCCAAATATAATTTGTATGAAATTTTTTATTTTTGTGTTGATCCAGCAAAAAAAAAATAACAACAATAGTACTCACACTACGTTTCGCAAACGATCCGTTCGCTTTCTAAAGTAGACTGGTGTGGTTATCGCCAATCTGGTCTGACGTCACCTCGGTGTTCGCGAAACGTAGTGTGAGTACTATTGTTGTTTTTTTTGCTGGATCAACACAAATGAAAAATTTTATACATAAGGATTATTATTTGAAACCAAATGAATTTAATGCTTCACTACGCAAGGTAGTTAAGTAAAAGTTGGTGCCTGATTAGTTGTAATTTTGCAGAAAACCAAAACTTGGGAATTTTCGTGAAAATAGTAGGATTTACAGTAAGTAGAACACTCTGAGAGCCCAATCACACTTAATAGTTGTCGGCTCAAGACTGCCTAAGGCCCAACTTTTTTTTAAGTGTGAAAAATCAATAAATTTTAATTTAGTCTGAATTAAAAGTCGCTCAGGTCCTGCAATGCGAGACCTGGGCCAAATTATCTACATATCTGAATATAAACCGAACCTCGGTCGCCATGGTCGCCTTGATAGTGGTCATTTCATGCAAAAACCTGCTGCAAAAGAGGATGTGTGAATGCCTGCAGTGTAATCCTATAATACTATCTGTTGATGGAATGGTCGTTTTGAGTCGGCATAGTTAATAAGGTAGCCCTGGGCCAATATAATAAGTGTGATTGGGTTCTTAAACTTTCACACAACTCGTACAGTCATTTCCAACATGAACATGAAACACTACGTGATAGACACTAAACATATATTCACAGGTATTTATTTCCAAAACGGTGAAGAAAATATGGGTTACATGGAAGTGGAGTCCATGTTAAAAAATAGTTACAAATCCAAGTCATTGAATCATACAGTGTACAGTGTAGCTTTACTATCATACATCATAACATCATTGTTACATTAATAATATGGTATGCAGAATTTTTTTTTATAAATTGGTAATCCGCCCTCTCTCACCCTCTAGCGAATTCATCCTCCCGTCTAAGCATAATGTAGGCCCTACATAGTGAATTCAGTCCTCTGCATGATTAATTCCTTAAAATGGGGACTGAAATCCTTTTGAATTGTGGCCACTGGGAGCCCAATCTACTGTCATTTCGGTATGGGGAGGCATGAATTCTCTGACAAGATGGCTAAATTCACTGATTTAAGTTGAGGGAGGCCAAATTCATGAAAGTGGGAAATCCCCTGTGATACAAATATATTCCATATCCCTGCAAAAACATATTTGTAATATGAAACGGCATTAAATATCTTGGATTAATCATCAATTAAAAAAACTATAAAACAATCTATAGTATGAATAAACACTCAAAACAAGAGAGTTTTAGTGTAAAAGTTCCTTAGGTAACTGGAATGATTAGGAGGTGGGAGAGGAGAACTTATTATTAGTTTATTCTTTACGATGTAAGGTAATTATCTTATTTTTAAGTTTAAGTCACAAAATATTCAGTGATACACATTTACACAAACATGCGAATCAAAAACACTGCCATCATCGTCGCATCATTTTTTCATATTCTCAAAGCCATAAGATCACCAAATCTTAGTCTCTCATGTTTCAAAGAATATTTATAGTCTAAAAGGAATAAAATGTATTATGACAAAGTACAAAGTTGAGATGCAAAAAAAAAAAAAATCAGTCAGCATCTATGCTTTTTCTTCTTTTTCACTATAAATAAAACTGTCTGAGAACTTAATTGTTTACCCCATACTACCAAAAAGTATAGAAAGGCAAGAGGTCCGACTGTTGGGTTTTCCTTGGAATGGAATAAAAATCTCAAAAAGTACTACAACAAACTACAGGCCATCCTTCAAAAGAGATGATATACACACGTAAAATGTGTTCATATAGGATACGTGCTGTGTGTAGAGAATGCCTGTTCAAATTTCAAACTCTGTTTGAATTAAAATAAGACGCTCCCTATCTTGTGGTAGCATTGCATTTTCCGTTTTATTTCATGCACGGATAGTCGGACGTCGTGCCATTCTACCTGTATACTCTTTGATATTACTAACTTATGGTAGCTTTAGATAATAATAATAACAACTGTAATTACAATAATAATATTAACAAAAATAATTACAATAAAGATAGTGTAATACTGCCTTAATAAGAACCATAATGAAGTAAGTAAACTGTATAACAAGGATTCAAGGATATTAAAATAGTACAAACAGAGCAAAAATGAATAAATTAGTTACAAGATATTTAAGACCTTCAGATTAAATATCTTGAAATGCTTTACAACTGGCAATATCATTTGCATCTTTTAGCTTTCCAAAATGTAAACAAAATTACCTTTCAAATTACAGAAGCTAATGAGGCTTGAGTTGAACAATATTATTAATTATGATGATGGGATGACATACAGAAGGCTGCCCCCTAGATGCTGATTAGGTTACCTGGGAATGAGCAGTGGAGTTGTGATTATCTCGGCATTCTTAAGCTTTTGGAATGCTACTCTCCTTCAGAATTTGGTTCCTCTTCTTCTTCAAGTTCAGCTAAACAACAGATGCAAAAAAATATTTATATTATTCAATCAATATTTCAATGAATATAAAAATATTTTTATTAAAATTAGATCTTAAAAACAGTTTTATTAAAAATTAATTGAAACTAAACATGAAACATGAGTTAGAACATCAAAATCTGTCAGGTATAATTATCAATTTTTTTTGTCATCAATCTGATGAGGTACTTAGGAGAAGCACCAGGCGTCAATTATGATAAATTATACTTATTTGCTAGAATGTCAACACTTTGCCCTGATTTTGTCTTTCTTTCTATTTTGTGTAAAACTTCAACTGTGGTGACTAGTAATTCATACCTAACAATACAATTGTCCAATATATTCATAATCATGTTGAACATCTCCGCATATTATATACTACAAAAAATGAACTATATAATAATGTATAGTAGTTATATAATAAAAGGCAACCCAACCCGACACTAAACAGCTATTCAAACAACGAATGATTGATAAATAAATATCATAGTGTAGATTGCACGTATATCAAAGGCCAAATGAACAGTACCAGAGTAATACTACACTACACAAACATGTTTGTTGTTATGGGTCATGTGACTAAATCTCTCGTAACAAAGAAATCAATAACTAGGTATACTTATGCATGGTATTATGCAAATAGTTATTATCCTCATTATGAGCGGGAAAGCGACAGACAGTGTGCACTGAATGTGCAGTGTGAGTCACCATCATCGATAGTATTACTGGCCTGGATTAGACAACTAACGCTTGCTTTTCCACAGGCTGTTGTGTGCTGCGCTACACAACAGCAATTAGTATTCAAGTACACACAATAGAAATCGTACCGATAACAAAGATGACACTGAAACATAGCTCCCTAGATCAATCCTCGCGCAAATCTTCGGGTTAGCTTCCCGGGGACAAAAGAACTACCATCTGTATGTGATCTTCTACAAGAATTATTTTCAAATTTAACGGTCACAAAGTGATGAGACAAAATCAAACGCACACTTAAACGTTACTAAATGCCTGCTGATTATACACAAGCCCGAGGCCTCTGCTTCATTGCTTTTGTTCTTGAAAACAAAACCAAAGAAATGAGATACCAAATTAGTAGCTTCAATTAATATGTAGGCTACGAAAAGATACCGCAATAAAGCTGCAAATTACAAAGCGATGCTATCAGATAACTCTGATTATTGTTTTAATATCACTTGCAAAAATGAAAATGTAGACAAATCAAAAATATATATTTGTCTTTAAAATTCTGCCAATTAACTTCCATTTATAAATAATAATAACAGATTATTCATTTAATTATTACTAATATCATTGTCATTATGGTACATAGAAATTTATCATTTATATTAATATTTTGATTTGTTGAAAATGCAAAGAAGTGAGGTTTAAATTCCTAGTGAAAAACTGTAACATTTTTCAAAAAACCATATTTCATTTTTTCCCTCCTTAACTTTTCTATCCTAAATTCCTTTTAAATTTCCTTTCATTTCTTTACTGTTTCCTTTCCTTCTTTTCAATTTAGTTCCTTTCCCTTCTATGTGTTTTCTATTAGTTTCTTTATCTTTCTATTCTTTCTTTTTTCGTTCCAATCATTTTCTTTTTTCTTTCTATCCTTTCTCCTTTTGTTTCTTTAATTTACTATTCTTTCCATTTCCTTCTTTTTCTTTCCTTTTTCATTTCTTTATACCTTTCTTTTCTTTTCCCTACTAGGTGAAATTGTTTTTGTTTCTAAGCCAAAACTGTATTTTACATGCCAAAATTCCTATTACAGTTTCAATCAATCTGATTATTATCATGTGACTAAGCAAAGCTACTTCATAATATTATACTAATGCCAATGAATGATGTACAGTATACCCTCGGTGGTCTTACTATATGACACAAAAACGTGTAGATAAAATGTATTACTCAAGTGACCTACCTTCAATGGCCTCCACATCACCCTCAAGGACTTTCTGCAGTCGTTCTCGGACATCTCGTACCCGATCCTCCTGATTTTTTATATCACTTTCACTGACAACAAATTTTATACACAACGGCTGGTCAGAGTTGATGTAAACATCAGGATTCTTTTCCAACTGAGACTGAAATAAAAAAAATTATATTACATATGACTTTAAAAATTTCATGTGAAAAATAATTTAAATTAAAATATACTCCCCCTCAAATTATTGAGAAAAAAAAAATCAAAAATTTAAGCCAGGCTTTGGAGGAAAAAATGTTTTGATATGTTGAATTGTGTTTGACGCAAAATTTGGGAATGGTTAATAAGATTTTTAAATTTTTAAAAACTGGGAAGGAAAGGTTTAAAAAATGGTGGTTATGCCCATTTTTCCCCCCTCCCAATTTTTAATTATTAAAAATCTGTATAACATGGCCTTTAGCTTGGATGGTAAAGCAAATGGGTAGTTAATTCTCAAGCTCAAATCCCAATTTGTGTCACTGATATTAGGCAGTTTTTGCCGCACGACGTTAACCTTAACAAACGACGTCATAATTTATTTATCTTGCGTTGCGGAGTACGTTAATTTCAGGGTTTTAACATGCTCGACTTAAAGTTAGTTACGAATTTTGCGCATGCATATTTTTTTTTGTGTACAAAAAGGCGGAGCTATCGCTACTAAGGTTAAAGTTAAGGTTAACGTCGTAGACAGCCCTTTTTTTGCAATGTTATGCATTTATATTAAAACTGAATTATCATCAAATTACAAAATTTCAATAATCTTGTGTTTCAGGTTTTTTTTACACAGGCTTCCATAATCCATCTAGCTTCACTTCACATCATTACTCTGATTGCTGGATACATTAACATTCATGCTGTAATGTGCAACCGTTTCCAGTCCGTAGGGAGATGTTTCTAGTAATGCATCAGTGAACACGATCAATACATTCAACATTACATATATTCACATGATATTGGTGAGTACAACAGTAATACATACTACTGTATACTCCCAGATGACATGATAGATACATAGCAGGATGCATGAGCCACTGTATTGTAGTACATATATAGTAGTATAGCATACAAATATTTTATAACATGTTTATTAATTTAATCTCATCCAAAAACTTAACTTAATGACATACTGTAAAAGGAGGAAGAAAAACATTACACAAGACAAACACATGTTACTCTACATACAGTAAGCCAAGTTTCACCATGAGGCATACAGTAAGGGAGTGCATTTGTTTTTCGTTGAGAAATTAACCCAGCAGCTGTTTCAAGGCAAAACAACGTAACTGCACAAAAATATAATAGCAGTTACGTTGTCTTGCCATGGGACGGCTGCCAGGACGTTGGAATTGACAATTTACATTTCCAATCCAACATACGTTTTTGTTGGGTATGAAAACTGGAATGCATTTCCGGAATTTGATGTTTTGCAAACAGTATAATAATTAGGATTCCAAAAGATTATTTCTTTTTTTTTAGCTGCACTGCCAAATTAAAGCATTGAAAGAGTTTCTTGCCAGAAGAAACAAGCCATACGAGCGAACCCAGCCAACTATAACACTAAAAATTAAACTGGAACAGGCTTGATACAAACCAGTTTCACAACGAAGCTATTACAATGTACAAGATTATGAATAATATAAGCCCACAATATCTTATTAACAGATTCAGTTCTAAAGAAAACCCACATAATACCAGATCTAAAGACAAACTTTATCTATGCAAACCTCGAACTGAATACAAAAAGAAAAGTTTCACCTATCGTGGATCAAAATTATGGAATTCATTATCAGAAGAAGCAAAAAATGCTAAAGAATTTTAAAAATATTGTGTCAAACCTGACCAGTTTTTGAAACTGCAGATTTTATTATTTCAAATTTGAAATTGTTTAAAAGTAGCATTTAGTTCCTAATTTTTACAGTTGGTAGGTTTTTACTTTTCCATGTTTGTTTTCCCTTTCTTTTATCATATCAGTAGTTTAAGAACACGGCCTCTTGGAAGACCAACCTTTGTAAAAAGATTGAAATGAGTATCCGTGGATAAATAAAGTTATTATTATTATTATTAAGCTTAAGTACATTCACACATGTACCTCTACAACCAGCAATATTTTGGGGTTTTTTTTGGCAATGTATTATGTCAGTTCCACCAGGTGAGCTAAATTTGGAATAACATTCTCAGTCAATGATTGACACTAGCTCCTAGCATGTTTTTCTTAGTTAATGATTGACATCTCAAGGCATGATGTATATTTCCTAGTTAATGGCTGATAGCGCCAGGCATGTTTTCGTTAGGTTTCGCATCATCACCTAAAATGCACTTATTTATTCACATCTATCTACAGTATCTTTTATTGAGTACAGGACTCTTCACTTGAAGGATCATCGTACTTTTTGGCGCATAAACAAAAAACCACAGGCCTAAATAAATTAGTATTTAGCATTACTTCATGATTCTAGACTCTGAATAAATTTCATTTTCCATTTTGTTCATTTTTCCTTTATCTGAGAGCATAAGTTAATGATAAAAAAAAATTTTTTTTTTAAAGTCATCAAAAGTATTTAAAGCTCTGTTCTGACTCAAATTTTCTTTGACAAAAAACTGTTATATGGCCATATATAGTCATCATGTGCCTATATATGGTCATGTGATGTCATCATGACCATATTTATGCATGTTGCATTTTTTTGTCATATAAAACTTCATAACTGTCTGGATAGGACTTAATAAAACTCGTCCAGGATCACTCTTCATTTAATATACAGTATATTTATTCTTTCAAGTTAATAAATAAATATTTGATAGATAATTATTCAAATATTTAAAATTATTGAAAAAGATGAAAGAGAGTTATTATGCCTAATGTAATATGGCTAGTTTTACAGGTAGCACTGAATTACGCCAACATATTATATAAATCACCCCATTGCAAATCCATCCCATAAATAAAACCTTCAACACTGTATTCATAATTTCCTTCTTCAATTAATTTTTACTATCAATGATTACGGAATATGCATACAAATCAGATAAATCCCTATCTAGTAATAGTCTTAAACAGGAAAGATTATATTATTCTTACAGCCTTGATTCTGCAACGACAAAGTAAGTTAGAATTACGAAATGATACGCATACAAACGGCCGTAATAAGTCGTATTGTGATAGAGGTATTCAGGACACGTATTAAAAGAATCGCATCTTAGTGAGTAGAAGCTAACTCATTGGAATGAACAATTAGAGATTATAACACGTCTACAAGTTTATCAATAATTTTTAAATTACTTATTTATTATCAGAGAAAAAGGGATTTAATAGATTCACGGCTAAACTCTATATTTATATACTTTCTATTATTTATCGTTTAATAATTAGGATGGAATTCAAAACACTTTTATATCCATTCATTATCATCATTAATGACAACAATCTTGATGACACCAATAATGTGTGGCCAAAATATCAATTTAACCACTTTTGCAAATTATTTTAAGGAGGCTACTTCATTTTAAAAACTAACTTTAATATTATAATACCAAATGATATGGTATGTATATTTATAATATCAATAACGACAGATATAAATATCTTAGATCATTTTAAACACTAAAATATAATTAAATCATGGTCCACCTAGCTACAGTATTCTCTGTTTCACTACCGAAAAGAAATTTGTGAATTATTTATTATATCATTTTACTATTTAGGAGTAATTTTAGTATAGGACTGGTAAGGCCTCTAATTACCAAGTGTTATGGTCTAAGGCAAGGGATTTGGGTTTAAGACCACATTTACAGGACCCAGGATCAAATGTAATCATTTGGGCCAGGTTCAGCAAGTTCACGACGCTTCAGCCTTAAAAAGTACCCATTAAAATACTAGGTACCGTATATGTAATCGTCTTATGGGATTAAATGATCATATTAGATGAAACTCATCTGTTAACATTCCTCATCCCACCACGGCATCAAAATGAATACGTTGATTATAAGCGTAATGTTGCATTTTAAAAGATAAATTTGAATAACTGCTGATGACAGCAAAGCGTAAATATTGGCCACAAACCATTCCACTTTGTTTAAGAATATGCAGAGTCAAGAGAAATTTATAAGATGGGCCATTGAACATCGTCTATCATAAATCATGTTTCTATTTTTGTATGGTTTTATCTTAAAATATTAGTATATTTAGAATATTTTCATATTGACATTTAATAATAGCTTTGGCTCTTATTCACTGCCTGCAGTCATGCATAGGTTTACTAGTACAGTACATGCAAATTTACATCTCTGTTATCTTTCATTCCAAAAGGTTTGTTCGATCCATGTTTTGTCTGTATGTATTCTTAAAAATTCAAATTTGTAATAATTAGTTTGTAAAGTACCACAGTAACTGTGTACATATGTATGTCAGTTGTGGTTTGATGTGAAAGTAATAGAAGAAATCATTAAAAAAAAAAAGAATACAGGTAGAAATCAATAATTATGGAGAATGCATAATTCCAATTTGGCAGTAGAGAATTGAGATTAATTAATTATTCTTGATTTATTCAATACAAAATTACATTCATTTAACTTTACCAGCCATTCCTTACAGCCTCAATGTACTCAACTGTATGACCAATACTACAAGTAACAGTGAAGCACTATCATCAAACAGAATATAACTTGAAATTTAAAGATTTAAATAAATATAGAAATTAGGTCATAAATTCCATAAGATCTAAACCAATTTTACTAAGTGATTGTTTCCTCTCAAAGACTGTAAATATTACAGTAGAATGATGTTTATTTACTTATCTCTTGCAACATAACAGTTTGGTGAAAGCCAGTATAATCACCAAGTGGTCCATTGATTATATTTAGATAATATAATATCATGCAGACTACAAAAAGACTAAGAGAAGCCATGATTCAATATTTCGTTCTTTATTATAACATCATCAGGAAAGATGATGATGTTTGAATAAAAAACGAAATATTGAATCGTGGCTTCATTTAGTCTTTTTGGAGTCTGCATGATATATATTATCAGTATAATCACAGTATACAATATAATTATTGTAGAAGGATTTGCTTTATTAATCCAAAAATAGTGCCGGTTATGCATGATGTTGCCTTCTACTACAA